AACGACACACACGCCGGCGTCAGGCGGCCGGCTGGCAAGGAGGCACCGCTCGAGCAGGCGCCACGCACGAGCGCAGTCGCGGGTACATACAGCCCCGCGACCCCAGCGTCTGGTGACACGTGTGCCGCCAGAAATGTATTTGGAAAATGCACAAGGCAAGCGCTGCTTTCGTACTGTGGTAATACATCTTGCTAGAAGAAAAACATTGAGTTTCCCAACTCCGACAAACTTCGCCTGTGCATTGCCGGAGGGCGTCCAGCCATTTGATTTGCAACTGAACTAAATGTAATTCAGAACGATAAGCATCCGAGACCGGAATGAATCAAGTGGCATGTCCTCTGACCCGCTCACGCCAAAACGCCATCTTTGTCATCCATTTCAGGCAAACGCTTGTGAACAGATATTTAATTAATAACACTTTTCCACGTAAGATGGTACAAATACTCAAGTAAACAGCACAAAAGTCTCCAGAATACAACCCAGTGACGAGCATTTTACAACCGACTTGAAAGAAAAAAACACAAGTGTCGCAGGACTATTTGACCCATAACAGACCACTGCATGAAGCCGCTCGATGCACAAAATCCTGGACACGAAATGCACGAAGTACGCAACAGAGCCGACGCTCTCTGTTTCAGACGATTCATAAACTCACGGGGGGGGGGGGGGGGGGGCACTGGTTCCGGGTGGTATCCCCTGGGGAGGCACCACGATCATGCTGGGTGAACACACACTTACTCTATCATGACGAAGATGTGGTCGATCACGCAGGACACCATCATCACAGCGAAGATGTACGCTGGCAGATAATGGTGCAGGAAGAACGTGTGGTCGATGACGAAGTAGGGCAAGTAGTTGAAGGCGAAGCCGAGCAGGATGATCAGGCCGATATCACACATCTTGTCCCACTCGTCTGCAACAGAGACGGCTTCACGTTGTAACACTGCCAGGCAGCAACCCCCACCCCCCTCAAGCGCAACGGATTCACATGGAAGGTCGAGAAAAGCGTACGCGCAGCTTTGCAGAGAAATTCACGAAATGACTACGGCGTCAGTGATAGAGATACGGCCTGCTTCGCTCTGATCGCTACATTTCGCCCAAAAGGAGCAGAGGGTGGGGACTGTGCGACGCCACCAGTGAGGTTTCACACATCGGCAGCCAACGCCCGGTGCGGACGCAGCGCCCTCCATAGTCGCCGCACCTGCACCCGCACCTGCACCCGCACCCGCGCCTCCACTCACCCTCGGGGATGTCGTAGCAGGCGCGGCGGCGGCGCAGCATGTAGAAGCCGATAATGGCCAGGTAGCCGAGCAGGGAGCTGCTGGCCGCCAGCCAGACGGCCACGTTGCCGATGAAGTGGACCTGAGCGTTGCTGTCGGGGCTGATCCAGTAGGCGACGCCTCGCTTCAGCGACAGCCAGTCCAGCGGGTCGCTGGCGTACATGTGGCCCTGCACCGTCTCCTGGTTGTTGAACAGCATCTTCATCTGCAGCTCGGAGAACTTGGCCCAGAAGGAGAGCTCCACGTTGCCCACGGGTAGCATCTCGGCGCCGGCCATGTCCTTCTGCTGTTTTTCGCTGCCTTCAGCTGCCATGCACGCGAACACGGACCCAGGTCAGCGCGCCAGTTTGGCCGACAACGCTCTACACGCACGCGCCGCTTGTGAGTGTCGGAGTGTGCGTGTGTGCGTGCGCGTGTGTTCTGCGTCCAGAAAGGCCAACTTCGGGCGGGGCAGCGCGACACAGCACGAGCGCATTTTCCATTCCACACAATCGCCACGTTGCCAGGTAACTCGTCTGCGGGACGGTGACCTCTCAATTGCCCTGTTGCCCAGACTTCTCCGCGGTACCACAAACACGACAGGGTTGTTTGTGGTGTCTCCTCCACACTTACGGGTGGTTAAGCAACACCGAAATTCAGTTTTCAACACCCAACAGAGTTGGAGGCAGTACTCGCGCCACCCGTGGCGCGGTGTCGCCCCCTTCCCATCCCCGCAGCACACCCGGCTCCCCGACTCACCGAGCGTGTAGCGGTGCTCCTCGGCGTTCCAGATGGTATCGTCCTGCTGCACCACCTTGTCGCACACTATCTCCATCTGGTTGTGACCCCACTCGGGCAGCTGCTGGCCGGAGTACTTGAGCGCCTGGCCGCTGCTCGCGTGCACAAACCGCACCTGGGGCAGCCGCCACGTCAGAGCGGACCCCGGTCGGCGCGCCGGGCTCACTGATCGGCTCAGAATCGACGGTGAGCCGGTGGCCACCAGTCGCTCATCCCAGCTGCTGCGTGCCGTCCAATTCAAGATCCCATCCTCGCAGCATGCGACTGTTAGCTGGCCTAAATACCATTCAGTCATGCGCAGTGGGCGCGACATTTGTGACGCACACTTGCCCCTCCCCTCGCCCCGCCACCCAGTCCCTATTTGTGTGTGACAGGGTTTCATGGATCCTTGCCACTAGTCAAGCATAATAACCGGATCTGCAGTGTCTTGGCATTCACCCTGGACAACAGATGTACGCAACAAGTGCAAGACACTACAGTGGAAATGGCTCGCTATTTTCCTCCTGCGCATTAGACGCAAAATCAGCATACGACTGTCTTCGCAATACGTGTTTGCTCCCTTAAACAATTAAGTCTAGTCCACGCAACTGGCGACCATTGCCTAAAGCATGCGCACATGCACTGGCGTTCCTCACAGCTGGCTGGGCGCCGCGCCGCCCCGCCATGCGCAGTCGCCAGGGCCCGGGCACCAGGCACAGGTCCCGTGCGCTCACCTGGGACCTGATGGCGTGCCACGCGTCACCGGTGTCCTTGGGGTTCAGCAGCTCCACCCTCCAGAGGTTGTTCGCCGGCATCGAGATGTTGTAGTCGATGTAGCAGCTGACCTCCTGTGAACGCGACGGACGGCGGTAACGTCGGGCGGGCGCTGGGCAAGCTGCGCATCCAATCGGCACACATCCGTCTGGATGAACAGCTGCCGAAAAAAACTGCGGAAGTCTCAAGAAGCTGAGTGGGCTTAACAAGAGTGAAGCGGCAAAGCAAAAAAAGAAGAAGACAAAAACCAAACGAAACAAAACAACGACAAAAGCGAAGGCCGCCAAACAAGCACGACTGCGCTGGCCCGCCTGCCTGGGGCCACGTGTTCACCCTGCTCCAAACCACAACCAGAGCTCGCACCACGACTGAACCCCGAGGAGGCCGGGGACCACGACCCGAGGCGGCCGGGGAACACACTCCAAGGAGGCCGGGGAACACACTCCGAGGAGGCCGGGGAACACACTCCAAGGAGGCCAGGGAACACACTCCGAGGAGGCCGGGGACCACACCCCGAGGAGGTCGAGGACCACACCCGAGGAGGCCGGGGAACACACTCCGAGGAGGCCAGGGAACACACTCCGAGGAGGCCGAGGACCACACCCCGAGGAGGCCGAGGACCTAACCCGAGGAGGCCGGGAACCACACCCCCAGGCAGCCGGGGACCACACCCCGAGGAGGCCGGGGACCACACCCCCAGGCAGCCGGGGACCACACCCCGAGGAGGCCGGGGACCACACCCCGAGGAGGCCGAGGACCACACCCGAAGAGGCCGGGGAACACACTCCGAGGAGGCCGGGGAGCACACTCCGAGGCCGGGGAACGCACTCCGAGGAGGCCGGGGACCACACTCCGAGGGAGCCGGGGACCACACCCCCAGGCAGCCGGGGACCACACCCCGAGGAGGCCGGGGACCACACCCGAAGAGGCCGGGGAACACACTCCGAGGAGGCCGGGGAGCACACTCCGAGGCCGGGGAACGCACTCCGAGGAGGCCGGGGAACGCACTCCCAGGAGGCCGGGGACCACACCCCGAGGAGGCCGAGGACCACACCCCGAGGAGGCCGGGGAACACACTCCAAGGAGGCCGAGGACCACACCCGAGGAGACCGGGGAACACACTCCGAGGAGGCCAGGGAACACATTCCGAGGCCGGGGAACGCACTCCGAGGAGGCCGGGGACCACACCCCGAGGAGGCCGAGGACCACACCCCGAGGCGGCCGGGGACCACACCCGAGGAGGTCGAGGACCACACTCCGAGGAGGCCGGGGAACGCACTCCGAGGGGGCCGCGGACCACACCCCGAGGAGGCCGAGGACCACACCCCAGCGACGCGCCAGCGCCGGCCGGCCGCGGAGCTGCACCTGGTTCCCCGGCGACATGGGCGCCGCCACGTCGTGTGAGTTGAGCGCCCGGCTGGTCATGCCGTGCACCAGCTGCACGACGTCGCCGTTCTTCACCGGCCGGAACGGCGTCGTCACGCGCATGTCTTCGCTGGAACGGCACGGACGATGGTCGGGCGCGCGGCGCGAGCAGTGGCGTCGAAACACGGCGCTGGGGTGTACCGTTGGTGACACTGGACAGGCGCAGGTTGGAACCCTTGCGAGCGTTAACAACATAGCGCGACAGAGGCGACTACACCTTTCATTCCATCCTTAGATACATAAAGGTGGCAGACGCCATATCGCGCGCATGAATGATGCGAGCATACCCCGGCCGAAACGTGGAGATTCAACATCGCACCACAAATGCACGCATGAGTAGCTGACACCAGCGCAGCGTGCGCCGGAGCCGCGTCGGCGCGGCCGTCTGGGCATCTCACACGTCAGGATGCTTGACGATCCACCAGTTGTTGACGTCCTTGAAGCCGTAGCAGGAGACCTGCTGCTGGTGCGATGAGCCGCGCTCGTCGTCGTATTTGACCGGGTAGACGCCCTCGTGCGAGTGCAGCCAGCAGGTGCGGCCGAGCGTGTGACGGAGCGTCACCTGAGAGCCGTGGCCCACCTCCAGCGGCTGGTTCCGGATGATGCTGGCCAAGCCGCCCTGGCGGCCGGGGACGGCACGTCACACAGCGCCGAGGCCGAGCGGCCGCGCCACGGCCGGCGTCACGGGCCGCCGGCTTCGGATGCGCGCGCGCGCGAGGAAGCGACACGTGCCGCCACGGCGGGTGGGCGCATATGCGGGGCAGAGGGCTGCCCGTGGCAGACTGACACGCGGCGTGCTACCGACAACCACGTCCGCCACCAACCGCCCGTGGTAGCGACGCGGCGAGCAAGCGGGCGACACGCGTCAAGGACGGCCGTGCCGCCTCTTGGTGGTCCGGCTCGACAGCCAGAGCCCATCGCAGCTGGCGCTCGGCCGCGTGCTCACCAGGCCACGCCCCCTATCAGCGTCCCACACCGGCCACACTGGGGCGCCGCACGAACCCGCCCGGCACGGTCGTAGCACGGTCACCCGCCCGAGGGCCGCGCCCCGCCCAACTCACATCCAGACTGGCCTGGAACGCGCTGGTCATCACGTTGTCGTGCGCGCCGGCCTTGTACAGCACGCTGAGGTGGACGTAGAAGCTGGCCAGGTAGACGGCCACCGGCACGGCCAGCATGAGCAGCGCGCGCACCGCCAGCTGGCTCAGCAGCTGCCGGTTGGTGATGCTGCGCACGGGGATGAGCGTCCAGAAGTCGCGGCAGACGATCACGCAGCCCAGCAGCAGCGTCAGCAGGCCCGAGTAGCGCACACTGAGGCACAGGGGCGGCGGGGGTGAGCGAGGGCCTACACTGCGACTACCGAGTAGTAGCGCACACTGCGGCACAGGGGCGGCGGGGGTGAGCGAGGGCCTACACTGCGATCACCGAGTAGTAGCGCACACTGCGGCACAGGGGCGGCGGGGGTGAGCGAGGGCCTACACTGCGACCACCGAGTAGTAGCGCACACTGCGGCACAGGGGGCGGCGGGGGTGAGCGAGGGCCTACACTGCGACCACCGAGTAGTAGCGCATGCTGCGGCACAGGGGCGGCGGGGGGTGAGCGAGGGCCTACACTGCGACTACCGAGTAGTAGCGCACACTGCGGCACAGGGGCGGCGGGGGTGAACGAGGGCCTACACTGCGACCACCGAGTAGTAGCGCACGCTGCGGCACAGGGGCGGCGAGGGTGAGCGAGGGCCTACACTGCGACCACCGAGTAGTAGCGCACACTGCGGCACAGGGGCGGCGGGGGTGAGCAAGGGCCTACACTGCGACCACCGAGTGGGGACGATGCGGGAGTGGGGAACGCCAACAGAGTGAAGGTCCTGAGGGAATGGTGCACAATGTGTCGGAGTACGTTGGGGGCGGGGGAGGGGTTGGCGCATACTGGAGCGGAGTGTAGGAGTTAGGGAGTGGCGCGCACTGTGGCCGTGAGGCGGTCGTCATTGCGAACTGGCATCACAGGCAGTGACAAGACGCCAGATACGGAAATAATACGGAATCGACGGAACCTCGTTAAATCCAGCTTTAAAATCAGCGTTTGGAACAAATGCAACTTAATGCCAGTCAAATGCTGTAAAACAACTACAGCCTCCCCGCCGATCAACGGAGGAGTCCTCCCCAATCAAACGACGGCGAATTCTGCATTCGAATCTGAATCGAATCCGAGACCATCAGCTGACTCACGTGGCGGCGGCCCCGAGCAGCGCGAAGCCCAGACACAGCCAGGTCAGCCAGGGCCGCGAGAACGGTCGGTCGCGGTACTGGCGGAAGCGCAGCAGGCAGAACACGCCGGACACGGAGAACAGCAGCAGGAACGGCTCCATCAGCATGAACCGAGACTGAACCAGCACAGCATTCTCTGGCGGATGAGGACACCATTAGGTTGCTTTGGTCGTGCACTGTCGCAAACGGCCACCTGTGCTCTGGTCCAGGCTCATATTCTATAGGCAGGCAAGCTTCACTTAGGCACCGCCCTCGGGCTGAGAGCGTCTCTCACATCCCGGCTCGTGCCACGGCAACTCCGGTCCCGACTCATACCTTATCATCTCATGATATCCAGCTCGGTGCCCGACCCCACCCACGCTGCAGACTCGCCTTCGCCTCGGACCTGCATCGGTCAGGCTCGACCAAGGCAGGTCCGAGGCGAAGTTCTCGGGACCCCGGCATCACACGTGTGCGAGCACAGCATGCGCCACGCGCGCAACACCCTCAGACAGAGCGCGCGCGATCCGGACCAGCTACTCATGGCTCAAGAACACTTGGCAGAGACACCTCTGGCGCTACTCTGCTTCACTGGAGGCGATTCACAGCCAGTCTATTATAACTGGCGATGCGTTCGGCGGCTAGGGCACGCCATTCATGCGTCTACGTGATGACTGCGATGATGAAGGTAGGAGGTGACGAGGATATCGGACTGGCGGAGGGCTAGGAGGACGGTCACCTGGCTGGGAGGCGGGAGTCCGTGCCGAGCGGCGGGAAGCGCGCAGGGACACCGCTGGCGACAGGATGGCTCCGGATCTCGAGGTGGAAGCACGGGTCTGGTGCGGCGTCGGCCCCCTCCTCGGCGACTCTGCGCGGGAGACCGCGGGCCGCCAGACACGGCCAGCTTCGCGTTACGCCAACACCAGCGCAGCTTCCGACGACGGCCCCGACCAGAGACCGTCTCCTCGGCTGGGCCACACGGGAGCACGGTCAGCAGCAGCGCGCCGGCCCCCGCCCGCCGGTCGGCGCGTCCCCGCCGCTCGCGTACCGAGCAGCAGCAGCACGCCGGCCAGCGCCGCCGGGTACTTGGCCAGGCCGAGCTGGCGCAGCAGGCAGTAGACGGCTGGCAGCAGCAGGGAGCCGGCCACGGCCGGCAGCAGACGCAGCATGTACACCGGCACCGAGGCCGGGTACGGCGAGCCGATCCGGTCGAAGCTGAAGTCACCTGCCCGAGCCGAGGCGTCACGTCAGAGGGGTCGCGCTCAGCCGGGTGCACACACTGGCAGCGGCGAGAGCTCCGCACGCGGCGGGCATCACCGCCACTCACCGCCCCGTCGCACTGACACGATGGCAAGCAGTCGAGAACGGTCGCCAAGGCCTCGGACGGGTACAGGCACTATGCGTTGTGACTCTTAACCACTGGCGGGTGACAGCTTTCGTTTGACGATGGCCTGCAGCTCGACACTGGGGTCGTCCCCAGCCGGCTGGGCTGCGGGCTGGGGACGGGGTGCTGGGCTACACTCACCGTCGTAGCCGGCGATGTACGCCGCCAGGGCTATCAGCTGCTTGCCCAGTGGCGGCTGCGAGTCGAAGAAGAACATGTTGTTCACATAGTAGCCCGCGAACTTGCCGAAATGGAGCTCGTCAAAACTGGAAACGGTTAACTGAGTTACTACAGCGCCAAAACAAAACCAGGGCTACGCAAGAGACACGCCATTCCCATAACGTGGTGATAAAAACATTCGGGCTCGTGTTGAGCTTATTTACAAAACCGAACAGCTACCTCTGAATTGCCGAGATATACCGAACAACATCTGTTTCTGACGGGCCACCATTGCACCACTGCTACACTTCAAATGGAGGTGATGAGGCTGGGTGGCTATGCCGGCAGCGGCGGCAGCCCCGCTCGTGCGGCTGGTGCACTTACACGATGGCACGGGGCAGGCCGAGCTGGTAAAGCCTGGTGACGAGGCCGGCCACCAGCAGCACCAGCGCCACCCAGTCGACGCCGTGGTGTGGCTGGACGCCGCCGCCGGCAGGGGCACGAGCCGCCGCCGCCACCGGCTTGGCTTTCTTCTCAGCCTCATCCTGAGTCAGACACGGGGCTGAGTTAGGGCGAGGGCGAGGGCGAGGGCGGGGAGGGGGACAGGGACGAGAACACGAAAGAGGTGGGAGGCAGCCTATCACAGCAGCGCAGGTCAGCTGATCATCTGGGACCCTACCAGGCGAGATTTCGTGGCAGTGTGCAGCCTCGCGGCACTTCGAGACGTGCTTGCTGCCGCCTGTCTGGCAGCGCAAACGTCCTTCTGGACGATGAAATTCGGTCGCGCACCATCCAGAGGGCCACAGCGGCGAGATGTGGCGTCGGCGCCGCTCCGGGCCCCCGCCTCGCCCGAGCCGGCCTGCCTCCAGACGCGCTACCGCCACGGATCATCCGGCCGGACCGGTTTTGGGATCGCGCCGGATGCCGACGGATATCGTGCCTGCTCTGTGCACCTCCACAGCCAGCGGGCGGCCGCCCGGCAGCTTTCATTTGCAGCACGCGACCAGTACGTCACATCGCACCGGAACAGTCACCACCCCGTCTCCACGCCGGGCTGAGTAGCTGGAGGGGGCACCGCAGAGGCATCCAGCCCCCACGGCCGGCCGCCAGGACAACGGCAGCGCGGGTCGGGTCAGGTCGGGTCGGGTCGGGTCGGGGCACGAGCCGACGCAGACGGCGCCAGGGGCGTGCCGTTGGCCGTTGGCTGGCTGCCGACGTAGCCGGGCACGCCCGGCTGGGCCTGTCGTGGTCAGGCCGCCGAGGACGCGGCGGCGCCCGCTCACAGCCAGCCGCCAGTCACGACTCGCCAGCCGTCAGACAACGGGTCTGCTCACTTGTCTCGGCGGCGGCAGCCGCCGCCGCCACCCGCCAGGCGATGGCGAGTCGGCCGGAGGGCAGGATACCGGGGGAAGGGTACGTGAAAAGGTGAAAGGGGAAGGGCGGGCGTATTCTCCAGAGGCTCCCGGGAGGTGAGCTGAGATGCAACACTGAAAGTTGCCTGCCCGTTCTCGCACTTGCAAATGTATTGCTGCCCTGATAATGATGATGATTTGGGCTTTGGGACGCACCGACTACGTTGGTCATATGGCGCCCATAACCCACTTTTCATCTAACGAATGTCTGACAAAGCGGGGAGATATGGTTACGTTCGACAGGTGACATAGAAATGTATGTCTTCAAAATAACTAAAATGTGGCCGTCCTTTACTGAGCTGGTGTCGTCTCCCAACACACCATAGAGCGTTTGAAGCACGGATCCTGATCCAAATGGCGCATACGTTCCGAGGCGAGGCGGGCACAATCTATCAAGACATGTCGTACGGTGTAACGATCCCCGCATTGCTGCCCTGTCGTGAATTGTAAGCGCGGATCTGCCCTCGCAGAGCAAAATAACTTCTCAAAGGCCCCCACACAGGTTCGGTGAAGGAGCGAAAGGGGACTAATTCATGTGCAGATGGCGACGTTATGGACGGCCCACGAACCGGTTTTAAGCGCCACGCATGGATGAATAGGTGACCTGGGTTTTTGCTCGGGTGCGAGTCGACATGCTTAGGATCACGAGTCCCAAAGACAAAACATACGAGCCGAACGCAACTTTTCTCGACGTTCGAACTTCAGAAAGGCGTAATTTTTCGAGACAGCGGTCAGGACCCTGTTCACGATTATTTCAAAGGTGAGTTTTTAGTGTATCAGAAAACGCCTTGCCTTGTCAGAAGCTGTCACGCTCCACCTGGTAAGTCAACGTCACTGCCGCCTGTTCCCATGCACAGAACAGTTATAGTGAAAGTTCCCATCATACCTCGAAATGGCACATGAGTTCTCGAATCATCACCGCGCGTCTGGCCAGTCAGTCAACACCCAAGTCGCGCCGCCGCAGTCGGCTGCCGGCGCAGACCGCGGACCGACAACTGGCGCGCGCCGCCCGCCCCGCAAGCGTTACTGTTCCGCTGCAGTCGCAGTTCAACGGGCGACGCCTGAGTGACGTCTGACGTCCCCTGCAAAACTTGGGAGCATTTGCTGCTGACTCTGCGGGGCGCCGGCGCGTCACCGTCCGGCCGGCAGAAGATCAGCGTCACGGCGTCGGCGCCGCCGTCAGCGGCGTGCCGGGTCTGGGAGGTAACGGTGCGGTCGCGGCCGGCGCGCCCGTGTGACCGGTAACGGTCCGTGCCGGCCGCCCGGCGGCTGGCCAAACTGGCCGGCGCAGCCGACGCGCCGCGACCGGCAGCCTGTACTCGTCCCGCGCCGCGAGCGGCTCGTAGCAAGACCACAGCCTGATGTCCCAGTCTCACTCTCCGCTCACTGACGACAGTTGTGCGGAGCCGCGCGAAGAAAGAACGCGTATATGTGCCTTCCCTCTGGCAATGTTCATAAGGCGCGGCTTCCACCCCGCGTGCATGGATTATGCGCGCTGGCAATCCGTTTGGACATGAGACCTGCGACCTGAATGGTCGTTTCCACCAGCAGAATCTCTATACGAAGCGCCGATTATACCGAAGGTTTCCCCACACAAGAACATTTGCTCCGCGCGACAACTTGCAGACACAAAACAAAATGTTCGGGATAGTCGATTTCTTCTGACGCTGAAATGCGCCGCAAAGGGTTTCTTCACATCATTAAGCATGGATTCAATCCACCCGCCCTCATTCATCGTTTGTAATAACGCGATCAGGTGGGGGAGGGGGAGGTCGATGCGACCCCCTGCTGTCTCCAAATTAAGAATGGTTATGACAGTCTTGTGGACAAACGGTGACTTGATCTCAACGATATCTCGCGATTGTTAATTAACACTATATTGCCCGGCCAATAACTGACCCCACAAAGGTTGTCAGCCAATATTCGACCCCACAAAGTTTTGAATGCCAATTTTTACGAAACATGTCACGCGACAGCATGAAGCATACGAAGAAGCGTCCGTTGTTTGTCTAAGATCATTTTTGTTAAGTTAGTGTACTGAGCATATTGAAGTGATGAAAGGAAAGGCTTCCCCTAATCTCGGTGTCGTTCCCACAGCTCACGATCGAGATTCGTTGGTTGCCCCACGCCACGATAAATAACGGAGATAGAACAGCCGAGAGCGGGGAAATATCTGGCCGGTTGAGGGGGGGGGGGGGGAGAGGGAGACGGGGCGGAGTGCGGGAGTATCCTCCGACGCTAAGCATGCTAACAAAGGCCTTGGTGACACATTTCATCAATCCCGAGATTGTACTACCCACCGAATGCAGTGTTCGGTTCACAGCAAGCCCTCCCGTCCCTAGCCCGCGAGGCAAACCGGTTGGTTGGGTTTCCACGTGAAGATGAGCTGGCCGCGGCCAACGATGTGAAAGTGAAGGGCCTCAGTGGTGCTCAACCGCGCGAGGGACGCGTTGTCATGCCAACCGGTGCCCGGGGGCACGGTTCAGCTGCTGCCACGAGTGCGCGCCGGGGCAGAGCAAGGCAGGATTGGCGTTGGCAGGTGGTCGGGGTGGCGGGGGGCGGGGGGGGGGGGCTTTGGACCACGGCGAGGTGGAAATAAAAAGGAGAAACGCCAGGCATCAGCACCAACAAATACTGCAGTCGCAATCAAGCTATGGAAACCAGATATGCTATCCGGCCCAGCCATGTCGAGCAGAAACGCTATCAACCTGTCCATCCGCCGATTTCCAGAGTCCGGCAGCAGAAATTGCTCACACTCCCCTTCGGCGCAAGCAGCACGTGACACACATTTTGACACGACTGTCCCAACAGCTCGAGTCTTGCACACATTATGCTTGACCGCTAGTATGCCATTTTACAGAGAATACTATACTTTTTTACTCACAGTGTCACTTCCAGACACGAGGTTCTTCTTCAGATCCTGCAATTTTTCAATTCCCGATTTTACGAGTTCCTCGCCATCGACCACTTGCCCAGTGATGGCATCCGTAGTCTTTTTAGTTTGCTTCTTTTTTCTTTGACGAAGTTCAGAGTCCTCGGTTCCCATCATTAAGAAGCTGCCAAAGCTGCAACTTGAACCAGGGCACCGCGTAGCTTCCTCTGAAGCAATGCACACAGCACCCACCGCACCAGCCACACCACGCTCCCCGACCGACCCGAGTCACGACGCGAGTGCTGGGCGCTCCGCGGACTTTCCGATTAAAGACTGAAGCAAGGCCTTCCATAAAGAAGCCAAACTGATAACGTAAATTTCGTACTTCCTTAGAGTTAACAACTGACGTCACTGATACTCATATTTATCCGTCTGTCGTCCCCTACTTCATTTCGAGGGAGTATGTTCTTCATAACTTCATTCTACTACGCTTCTTCGCTAACGACGTCATTCTTAACGACTTTAGATATCATGCTCTGAGACTTTGCTCGTTTGCTGGCTTTTTTCTATCTGTGAGAATTAAAATCATGCCAAGTTGAGGGCTGACTGTAAAATTGTCATCACATTCTCAAACAAATATGCTCACCCTTTTATTTTCTGTTTTCAGTGATAAAAATTTGATGAACGTTTTGCTATTTACAAACACAATGCGTGTAATCCAAAATGAGATAGCCGGCAACTGACGGATCTCATTGGATGATGCTAGACAACCAGTGACGTCATTCACGCTTTGTATTTTATCCTGTTCCCTTTAGGCTACCACAGCAAATCGCGGCAAAAAGTGCAGGCTCGTATCGCTTCGATGGGGATCCCCAAAGCCCTGAAACAGAGGGGTGCCTCCTTTGGCGGGAGAACGAAGAATGGGTGCGCGGCAGCGGATCTCGCAAATATCTTTTTAGTGTTCCCAGAGGTGAGCCATGTCCACAGAAACAGTTTACATTTGAATGACAACTGGAATGTCAACGGGTTCCTTGGGGGTAACAGTGAAAGATATTGGTAGCTTCGCTGGGGTTCGTGCCGTAATATTACCAAATGTGTGGTAATTGTGCGGTAGTTATTTTTACAATAGTATGTACCAAGTGCCCGAGGTTTGGTACAGACATTTGTCGTATTTGTATCTGGGTTACCTGGTTGCATGTGTTCTGTCCAATTTTGTTTTCAGAAGTATAAATTTTGGGCATGCTTTTTGTCAATGCTTCATTGTTTGACTTATGGATATTTAGATACACAATTCAAACAACATGTGGCACATGGTTGATGAACTGATTTGCATACATTTCCCATCAATATTTTGTTTATGTTCTGTTTTGTTTTACATGCTTTTGTTTGGTTTCTAATGTAAATCTGTGGTTTTACTCCTTTGTCTAATTTGGCAAATAAGATATTACTATAAAACCCCTTGGCTTGATTTAGCAGGGTTAATTATTTGTTATTTTCACTTAAGGTATGCACAGGGAATTCATAAATAGAAGGCTACTTTGAATTTTGCACAGACATCTGACACATTTCTGAATCATCCTGAATTTTTGACTGGCTTGAGGCAAATTTTGCCTCCTTCTCCCCCCCCCCCCTTAGTCAATGCTGGGTAAAATGCATGGTCCACATAGTTGAAAATACCTCAGTACCTTAAGGGTGAACTGGTGGTTTAGTGTGTGAAATGTGACAGACTGGTCTAGGGGATGTTCAGGTAGGTCAAATTCTGCCTCAGATGGGGCAGCCAGCTCTTCAGCGTGGGGCAGGGGCAACGGCAGACCTTATTACGGGGGGGAGGGGGTGGAGCACCCTCCAGTGGTGGGACTGCCCTGGGTGGTCTCCAAGTGTGTTACTGTCAATGTTTTCTTGCTTATACCAAAAGTCCGGTGTTTTACCAAAAAGCAATACCTTCAAGCAGCAATAGTTTGCTGGAATGGAAAGCCAAATTGTGAATGAAGGCTTGTCATTGAGGCTGAACCTTCAATGAGAAAAGTGGTGTAAAAATAATATTGTGCATGCACCAAGTGAAAAGTGTCAGAGGGAAACAGTTCAAATCTTTTTAACAATATGAATACCTGAAACATATATGCAATAGGTAGTTGTTTACACAGACACAGTCCACTGTGGCCAGTGCCACAGTTCACAGCCTGCCTCAAGATCACATGAGCTGCCCCATAATATCATAAGTTGCCCCATTTCAGTGAATCTGTCCAAAAAATAAAAAACTACCTTAAAACCAAAATATTGCAGCAGCCCTTCCCCAACAAGGTCTTGAGATCTGCCACTTTCTGCATACTGACTGGTACCTATCAGAATTTATGCTTTGTGATGTATGGCCTTGGCTGTTATAGAAAGTAACCATTCTTTTACACAAGTGGTGGCTTGTGAGTAGCCATTCTACAGATGTGATGGTACAGCATTTCCTAACAGGACATTCACAAGCATTAGTTGTACTGCACAGCAGACCAGTTGTCTGTAAAGCTCATACCCAGGCCAGAGAAACTAAGAATGTTTGTATACATTCATGGCTCACATTTAGTATTTATGGTCTAAATCAATTGATCTATGTATAAGTGATGTATCTTTGGCAGTGGACACACACATGCACACACACAAATGTTGATGGTCATCCACATACACTCACATACACACACCCATAAATAATATCTCCCTTTGCACTGCATCTGAGCGGGTTTTGTTGGAATGGCTCAATTTCAAGATGTCCTCACACTAGTCTTTTTAATGGATCAATGGTGCCTATGTTCTGGGTAAAATGACAAAGTGTATTTCTTGAGTTGTTGATATTTTTATATTTAAATGCATAAATCTAAAGGCTTGATAGCCATTATACAATTTTTCTATTCTTGCATGGAGTTGTGTTACAACACAATATCTAGGACCTGCCCCAAAGCATTATAGGCTGTGATTCTGTGCTTTCCATGATGTAGTCCCATACATCATCACATTCCAACATTGACTATGCATCTCAGTGTCTGAAAGAGTGGCATAAAGTCATCCTGCTTGCCCCCATTGCAATGTTTGTTGTGACGCCCGCCAGATGGGATGATGGTCTCGCGGCAGACGTCGGTGGCGAGCTCGCCGCGTGCTGCAGCAGCGCAGCCTCCGGTGCGCTGCTGCCTGTCTGTGGGCGACCTGCCGCCGGACCAACTGCTGCCATACCGGACGCTGCCGCCGCCCCACGCGCCGTTCTCGGAGACCACCACGGCGGACCACCTGAAGCTGAGTGTGGCAGAGGCCGTCCAGCGGCGCCTGCGGCGGCCGCCCGTGTACGCGCCGCCGCCGCCGGACGAGGGTCAGTTACAGGTCAGTGTCGGGCGATCGAGCCCCGGGCGGCGCACACCCAGCCAGCCAGGCCGTCAGCTAACGGAACGGATCGGGACTTGTTCTTGGTTGAATGACGACACCACATGGTTGCCTTCGGGGGCACCGGCTTCGGCCGGTGTAGGGGACTAGCGCCCCCTCGGGTCCCAGATCCGGTGACAGGTGGACAGCGCGAGCTGTTTCTCTCAGGGCATAGGGGCCCTGCCGGTACGTGAGCTCCCCCCCCCCCCCCTTGGTCCGCCCGCTCCCTTCCCATTACCCCGCTTTCCCGCATCCGGCCCACTCATCACTCTCCTTCTCCGCGACAAATGTTTAAAATCCCTTAACATCCTAAGGTGCGTGGGACGTACATCATGCATTGCTCATTGGAGAACGTTCGCCGTACCGCTCGCTGATCCGTTCAAAACTTGACGACGGCTGTTTTATCTATGACGGTACATCAGACCTGATTGAACGTGCTTTGAAAACGGTGCACCACGCTGCGCTACGTACCGCCACGGGCTTTTCGAACACCGCCCAAAGATAGTTTTCTGATGGAGTCCCGCGAGCCCCCACTAGCATTGCGAAGGCAGGTGATGGGCCTGCGCTACACGTGCAAGCTGGCGCAGTTCCCAGATCATCCTACCAACAAGCAGTTTTTGTCGCGTAGCTTATGGAGACTTTCTACTTCAACGGTCGCCATAGACTTCCCCCTTTTGTGTACGAATGTGAGAACTTCTAGACGCGAGCGGCGTCAACCACAACGTGTCATCAGACTTAAACTCATGAAGAATGCTCTCTGGGAGCTAGCATCGCCAAGAGGGGATGTTTCGCTATTAAACATGCAAAAGCAATGCGTTCTCATAACGGAAGTTAAAGGTGCAGCCTGGGGGCACATGGCCTCCTTTGACGGATACATGATGACTTATACGGATGGTTCAAAGACGGATGCAGATGTAGGGTGCGCTTTTGTGTGCGGATCCACAACACGGTCATTCACACTGCCTGCGCACGCGTCGGTCTTTACTTCCGAGCTTATACCCACCAGGAAAGCTCTCTGCTTTATTGAAGTAGACGATAGCAATTTGCATTTGATTCTTTCCGACTCCTTGAGCAGCATCCTGGCTGTTGGTGGCTTCTTCTCGCTAAATCCACTGGTCCAGGACATTCTTCGCGTCTAAGCTCACTAGATCAAGCAGGAAAAACGGTCGCACTGCGTTGTATCCCAAGTCACTTGGGGATCTGCGGAAATGATCTCGATGACGCGGCAGCAAAGCTCGCTACGACAGGGGCACGCATTCCCAGGGGCACCACTGCCAGCTCAAGCCATGAACCCCGCAGTGTCTTCTTTTATGCAGAAGCGATGGCAGTTCCACTGGAACTTGGAGCGCCAACCAGCCAAAGTCAGTGAAACCCCGTATTTGACTATCGCAGTCGTGTTTTCGCGACAGTAGGAGGGAGGAAGTTGCTCTTTGCCGGTTGTTCATAGGCCACACATGCTACGCACCTTTACCTGTTATTGGCTGGCGACAGACCATGCTGTAGTGGATGCTCTGACCCGCCGACCGTGCATCACATACTCGTCGCTTGCCGTCACCTTGCTGCAACGAGAGTGCAGTTTTTCGGACACAACGTCCAGAGTCGCACGCTTTGCCACTTTTCAGGGGATTGTCCACACGCTGTCGAGTTTGGTTAAGTGTTCCAGTTTCTTCGCGCTGTAGATTCCCCAGTAATCTTTTCATCATGAAACCAGGCCTGATCATCAAGGCTTTAAAGGGTGACCTGATTGATACACTTGCCTGATTTGCGGCTCTGCATAAAAGGATGGTTATGGGCGCTGC